GCTCCAGTTTCTTCCACACCACAAGTTGTGTGTTCGGGTTCATTTATACGTCTAAATCATCCCAGTCTGAGTGAGTGTAGGTATGAGTACACCCTTCCAGGGAAGGGCATCCTGTTCAGGGAGGGTCCCACTTTGAGGTCTGAGCCCCTAGGGCTGGCCGCAGTCACCCAGACCTTGTTCTGGAATGAGCAGGCTGGAAATGAATGAGTGATTGAATGAACAAATGAATGAGTATAAATGATTGTTTAATATTAGAAGTGTTTTGGGTCTTTAATTAGAAGCTTGGTGAAGTTTTTGTGATTGAAAACATGCCATCAGAACTTAAATCTTATCTCTATCAATCAGCCTTTGGTCAAAGTGGTTTCAGTCTAGCTCCTTTTGCATAAAGTCAGTTTTTCTAAGAACCTATCCACAGTGTTAAGCGAGGGCTTATTTTCTGTACAAGCCAAAGCAATGCCCCTTTTTTCTTCCATCTTGAATCCTGAACACTATCAACACTGAAATGAGAACTGCCAAAGACGAGTCCTCTCCCATGAAAAGAAAAGGCTGAATATATAGAAATGGGGCATGGAGCTTACCTTGTGAGGGCTAATAAAAGCAAAATAATGACATTTTTCTCAGATAAGTTTAAACATAATTAAGAACCTTTGACTTCTATGTCTCTAAAGGACAATCTTTAAATAGGTCACAATGGGCAGCCGAGAATTGTGAGTATTACCATTACAAAAAAAGTTACATTCACTTTACAGAATATTTTGCATAATTGAAAACTCTACTAATCTAATTAAAATAAATTTTCCTTGCTAAAATTTAATTTACTGAGGACTTTTAAAGAACACGAACCATAATGACCTTTTATTAATGGCCGTTTTAACATTTTTTTAATTATGTTTACTGAAATAACATTGGTTTACAACACTATGGGATTTAGGGGTCTAGGTTCACACCTCTGCAAATGTGTGCTATCACACCCCACCCACCTCCAATATCCCAATAATCGTCCACCAAATCCCACTGGACACCCTCCTCCGTTTGCTCCCACTCTCCTCTATCCCCTTCTAGTAGCTTCAGTTCTGCAGTCAGATTTCAAAGGTTGGTTTTGGTCTGTTTCTTCTTTTTGTTTTGTCATATTTCACATATGAGGGAAATCATCCAACACTTGTTTTATCCTTCTGATTTATTTTGCTTAGCATGAATCCCTCCAGTTCCATCTATGCTGCTGCAAATGGATGGCAAGTTTTCATCTTTTTTTTTTTTTTTTAACTGAGTAGCATTCCATTACGCATATATATCACATCCTCTTTATTCATCTGTCCTTGGGCTCTTAGGTTGTAGCTTAATTATTGTAAATGTTGCTGAACATAGGAGTACACATGCCCCTTTGAATCAGTATTTTTGTATCTTTCAGTAGATACCTGGGAAAGAGATTGCTGGGTCATATGGCACATTGATCTACTGCTAGTATTTTTTTTTTAAGATTTATTTATTTATACAAGAACCAGGGTACAGGCCAGATGCGCAGGAGGGTGAGAGAATTCACCAGAGACAGAGAGGGGAACAGAACAGGCAGACTGACGAAATACACTGCTGTGGGGAGCAGTGGGCGAGACAGGAGAGATGTGCTGCGCCATGTGGGATTCTCGCCAGCCGGCCAGGATTGAACCCGTGCTGCAGAGGCTATGGACAGCTTCACAGTGTGGCACTCAACCACCTGTGCCACCAGGGAGACCCTCTACTGCTAGTATTTTCAGAAACCTCCACATTGTTTTCCTTGAGGCTGAACTAGGCCACATATCAACTGACAGTGTACAAGAGCTCCTTTTCCTTCTCACCCCCACCATGCTTCTTGTTTCTCTTCTGTTTGATATGGGCCATTCTTACAGCTGTAATGTTGTATTTCATTGTGGCTTTGATTTGCGTTTTCCTGATAAGTGATGATGAGCATTATTTTATATCCCTGTTGACCCGTCTGTATGTCTTTGGAGAAGTTTCTATTAAACTCTTCTGCCCATTATTTAATCAGGTTGTTTGTTTTCCTGTTGTTGTATGATTTTGTAGATTTGGGATATTAGCCCCTTGTTGCATGCATGATGTACAATTAATTCCTCATCCTGTGGTAGGATATTTTACTGTTTTACATTTACATATAATATATATGTAAATGCAAATATTATATATAATAAAAATGAAACTATGCTGTAATAGTGGTCTGAGACTTTATTTATATCTACTGATGCAATCTTAACTTGATGCAATCATAACTATATAATATTTCTTCATGTGAATGTACTGTATTGACTTCTTTAGTCTTTTCAGATGGTTTCTTATGTTTTGCTATCATAAATATTACTGTAATGATCATCCTTTTACATATAAATCTTTAACTTCTTTCATACTTCTTTCTGACTTCTATAGTAAAGATTCCTAGAAGAATTAATAGATGAAAAATGAATGTTTTAAACTTTAATGCTTTCTATAAACAATTTAGTAGTTTCCCCACACACTCATCAACATCAGTGCAGTTACATTTTATGTTAATGTAAAAAACAGAAGTCAGATACATTAATAAAAACTGCACAAGTGCTCCATTAATTTTTATTTTTATTGTGTTTTGCTCCATGAATTTTTATACATTATTAAAATGTGTTGATTCTTCTTTCCAATAGCACTCATTTCAGGGTTTGTTATTTCCAGGGGAAGATAAATACATGCTAAAAAGTTCAAAGAGCATTGAATTGACATTTAGTATTGATTAAATTTATGACACTGTATATACTATATTGAACAAAGACCAAAGGTATTTAACATTTATATTTATGCAGATGTAGGTCTCAGTGCTGTCTTGGTTGTCTGTGTGTAATTAGAGCCATATCTTTTGAGTCCTCTTGTGGATTATGCATGCTTCCTCATCTTTACATGTAGGAATTCATTTAATCTTCTCAACAGTCTTATAAGCAGACTTTTATAGAAAAGGAAAATTAAGTACCTAGGGGCTTAATTTGCTCACTATCTCACAGACAGTGAGTGGTGGAACTGAAATTTGATTACCGTGGTCACAAGAGTCCTCATTTTGTCCTCTGCATATTAATGTTAGCTCTAGATCTTTCTATTCTCTATCATATGCCACCTTGGACTTAATAACTCTGTTCCCTAGTGCTCTTCACTCAAGTGAATTTCATAGGAAAACTCTGTATTATATAACCAGTTACAGGGAAATAATGATGGACAGTATCTGACACAGCATATGAAATATGACTATTACTTTTCAGGAAAGAAACCCCATTTAAAAATTCAATTTAGCAGCATAGCATATAGTCTGAATAATGACTTTTGTTATAAGTACACTGGAAAATTGCTATAAATCAACAGAGAAATAGATGTATTTGCAGAAAATGATTATATCATGCACATAGTGTGGAACTTATTGAAAAAAAATGAAAACTGGCAGCTAATTCAGTAACTAACTCATTTCCAGAAATGACTTTCAGTTATGCCAGATAAATGTCTGTCATCACAGGATATTTATTTTGTTTATAATTATATATTTTGAGTCCCACCTATGTGTCTGTTTATCTATCTATCTATCTATCTATCTATCTATCTATCTATCTATCTATCTATGGATGTAAATTGTTTCCATTTAGCTTTGTGGTGTTTTTCTTTTGTTTTGGTCCTTGATGTCATGTAATTTTTCACTCATGACTCCATCATCGAAAAAATGATCCCACGTGATTACTCAATTCAGTGTTTTCCACACAGTCTAGTCCTCTAAATAGCTCCTTTTATATAGATCTTTCCTGGTCATAGATTCTTTAAGAGATAAGAGAGGAGATTTTTATCAAAAATTATTTCTTCTCAGAAAATTAACTCCCTGAAATAGCCGAATTATCTTCAGTATATACAACTTGTCAAACATTTTTTAGCATCCCCTTTATTAAATTATGAGGATTTGTGGGTAGAACACCTTGCTACTGACAGTGCAATTCAGCAAAATCTTCTTAAAATGAAAGTTAATTGGTCCACACCATTCTTTTTTTGACTTACCAATTTACTAACTTCTTAAATTGTTGCATTTCATGGAGTACACTTTAAGGAACACATGGCTCTTCTTTGAATTTTTTTTTGTATTGTTAAATCATTCTTACTTCAATAAAATTTTTAGAGTACAATTAAATCAGAATTTGAAATTTGATAAAATACCCTAAAGTTCAATAAAAAATAATGGCCACTCTATCGAGCAATTTATCCTCTCAGATACTATTTTTCCCCAATTTTTAGTCTCAGTAGTTAAACGATTCCAGTTACAAGGATCACCTGGCATGAAGACAGGAGAATCAGTGAGAAGCAATAGTGTCTAATGCTCTGCTCACTCTGGCTTTCCTGTCTAAGTTAGTACAAGTAGAATCTTAAGAACCAGTTGACCTTTTAAAGATAAAGCACCAAGGAGCCACAAAATATCAGATCTGGGCAGAGTAACAACTGCAGAGTTCTAGAACCAAGCCAGGTCTCTGACTTGAAAGCAATGTTAGTTATAACTCAGCTCTGCTGGGCCAGGCAAGCATATCTGATTCGTGACAGCAGGATCCCAGAACAGCTGTTGACTAAAACAGAGAAGGGACATTTTCTGAAGACCAGCTTGGAATGCTGCATGGTTGTGGGTTACTAAGAAGGCGTTTCTGCTGAACATGTGCCAAAGAGGGAAGACCCGGTGGTTTCAGTTGAGTGGAGAAAGGCAACCTGGAGCAGATTCCTAGCTGCAGCCTTTTGAGGTTAAAGCTGTGGAGACTTAGAGATATGTGATCTATAAGGACTCACTCACCAGACTTGGCTTTGAATGAAAGAGTTATTTCATCCCACACAGTGAGTTGTGACAACCGCTTAGCAGTAATGATCAAATCACAGCAACAGCATTCAAGTTCAGGAAATAATGAGCTAATTCAAAGCCCATGGGGAATTCAAGACAAGTGAAAGGACAATCTTATATCTTGAAATATCTCCAGAGCACCTTCTCTTATAACTGGGGTCATGGAATCTTGGGTTGCTCCATTAAAATGGGCAACTCTTAATTCCAAATGGCATGCCAAGGACGAGAGTGCCTTTTCACAGGAAAATGCTAACTCCTCATTGGGCATGCTTGCTGATAACTGATTATATCAAAGCCTGAACTGATATGGCTCGGTTGCTTTCTGAACAAACTGCTTCGGAGATTTGTAACCAACACCATATGCTTTACATAGTTCCCAAACACAAGTAGGCAGAATCCATTTCCAATCTGTTCCAGATTGTCTTATTTATTTTATTGCAAAGGACTGAATACCAAGCTAATCATCACAACAGGGAAGGAAAAATAGCAATTTATAAGTCAGTGTGCAGTTAACCTTCAGGTATTAAAGATGCCCACTCCTTTGATGCATCAGTATAGAAAAGGATCTAATTCTTGGACCCTCTCTGTCCCACTCTGTAGTGTCCATGGTTTAGACAGTCCGTCAACTGCCTTCTGTCTGGTGAACTCCAACATATTTCAAGTTGTAATCTCCTTTGTAAAGCAGAGTTGATCATGCTCCTCTGTGCCAACGCTGTCCACATCAATCTTCATTACTGCATCTAGCACTTTCTACAGTTATGTATATGTACATATGTTTTCTTTGCTCAAACTCCATGAGGGCAGGGGCTGTGACAGGCTTATGTAGATGTTGACTAAATGTCTGTTAAAGGAATCAATTGATAAAACAAGTGAATAAATGTCAAACTCTAAACTTCTTTGGAGAACTGAAAACACTTTACAAATATGTACTGATGATTTTCAAAATCATATTAAAATACTTTCTTTGATGATAGGCAATAATAGAAGTATTTGTTCATTGTCTACCATGGGAATTCATTTTAGGTCTCTAATAAATGAACAATTTCCTAATGTGCTATTATTCAAAAGTCAAATTTATTTGAGTGATCCAGCATGAGCTGGAAAGGTGCTTTGAAGCATTTTTCCACAGGAGTGAATAGATTTGGCCTGAATCATTCACATTCTTCCTAGTCCCATTTTTGACCAACTGTAAGGATTTTAAAGGCAGCTGGTTATGTTTAGGGATGCCATCTGTAGACATGAAAAAAGAGTCTTCCCTAATGAAGAGTTAATTGGTCTGTAAATGTTTCATAAACACAGTCTTTGTTTCTTAATACAGTGTGTGTCTTATTTTGTTTTGTTTTTCAGTGTGAAGCATGGATTTGAAGTAAGAGAGACCCATTATTCAAACTCTAGTTGCTTGATTTATTAAGTTATGTGAATTCAGAAAAGCTTTCCCCCAACTCTATAAACCTTTCTTTCCTCTTCTGTTGAATAAGGATAATAATGTCATTATACAGTTATGAAGGTTCAATGCAGTGGTGTATATGAAGTATCTACCCTGGTGCTTTGCCTAACTGGGGTTCTCTCTAAATGACAATTCCCTTTCTCCTTGCCACCCTGAGATTGGCGTATTACAAAGAATTAATCCATAAATGCACAGGGGTACCTTAGCTCTTCTTCAGCCTGTGGATTGTCCTCCCACAATTTTACAGAACGAAATGCTTGTAGATCACAATTTATGCCATAGGACATTTATAAATACTGTAAGATACTATTACCCAGAGCTGTTACTCTTTTGTATAAAATACCACAAAGTTGCTTAAAGGCCCTTGGGTGGTTAGAACATTCTTCCTTTAATGTTTAACCTACAAGGAAATAGGACTAACAGATCATGGTAATTTCAACTTTTAAAAGTACTTTAGAATTTCAGAAAGTTCCCAAATTCCCTTTATCCAGCTTCCCCTCATGTTAACATCTTACATGACCATGGCATTTTATCAATACTAAGAATTTAATATTGGTACAATATATGTACTAGTGATAACCAAATTATCTTCTATCTACTTTAGTTTTTTTTTTTTTTTCCGATAATCTATCACTGTTCCAGGATCTCAAGTTAGTTTTAGTCACCATGGTACTTAATCTTCTCCAAACTATGATAATTCCACAATCTTTTATCCTTCATGACTTTGACCATTTTGAAAAGTACAAGGCAGTTACTTTGCAGAATATCTCTCAACTTAGAATTTTTAAGATGCTTTCTCCTAGCTAAATGAAATTTTGCTTTTGTGGCAAGAATACTGAAGAATCAATGTTGTGTTTCTCTTGAAATACAACTGAGCTTCAACTGGTGTCAACTAAGCTTCCTCACTGTAAAGTTACATTTTTCCCTATGCAATTAATTGTTAGATTGTTCCTGAAAATATTTTAAAAGTCTAAGTACAAAAATATGACTATACAAAGAAAGGACTGTCCTGTCACAGATCCATTTATCTTTAGAGGCATCTAATTTTGCATTGTTTATACTAAAAATTAATATTAACTTTTGATATCACAATGTGATAGTTTAATCAGTTTGAATGTATTGGCATTTCCTTCTAAACAGATTTATCTGCATTTAGTTTAATTGTGGAAGTACAGGGTGTTGATTAGTGGATAATCTTTAAAAATATGGCTTAGTGTTAAGCAATTATTATTAAAGTCAAAAAAAGAGTGGAATTTACAACTGAAAACATTAAATTAGATCATTCCTTTGTAGCATAACATATTCCCTATATCACTGAGTTTAAATTCTCTTCAGATTTTAAAAACCAGAATTCCAAGGACCATTGTGTGTGTACACCAGTGTGTGCATATAAGGTGTGTGTAGGTATAGGTGTATTTGTGTAGCAATTACCAAGATGAATGTTAAGCAGAAAATGTCCACATAGTGCCCACAGCTAGTTAACTGCATGTTTTATTAAAATAGTTAATTCCAATTGTACTACTCAGGCAGACTATGCCTTACTACCAAATATACATTTTTAAAGATGATAACATCATATGCTTTATTAATGAATTATTGATGAGAGGAACGGACTGTCTATGCTGAAGTACTTTCCAAGGCAGTTATGTATATGATGAGTGATCAATATCTCCACGGCACACATTATCTTACCTAAGAACTTTAAATTATACCCAGCTAACTCAGGAAAAAGGGAAATTGAAAACAAATTATAAGCAGATGAATTAGTTCTATTCAATTAATTTTATTAATATGACATTGACATATATTAAGTAGCTACTTAATATATGACAAATATGTCTTATGTTTGGTGTCACTATTATTGTGTATCTCAATTAAAAGCTGTCTTTAAAAATATTTATATATATCTATCTTACATCATTGTTCATTTTTTGTTCAATGTTTGCTTGTATGCTTTCTCTATTAGCTACTGCCTGTTTCTACTCGCTGCTGTTTCTGTTTCAATCTGCAAATGGGTTTTCTTCTTTGAAATATGAAATAACCTTTTCTTTTTGTTGTTGTTGTTGTTACCACTTTGTTACGCTCCCAACTGATCCAGACTCTTCAAAGTATGAGAGCCTGTAGTGGTACATCCAGTTCCAAGTCCACACTCTTTGTTCACAAATCAAAAAGAACTGAACTTTTTCAAATATCCAAACATATAAATCTATTCTTTCTTTTCATTTGCACTCACATCTACCCTCTGGATTCCATCTGGAACCCAAACCAGAAGTGCTGAAAGACCACAACAAAGACTGCTTTCCTTGGAGTTTCTAGCTCACCGGAAGTGGGAAACATTAGTCATTTCATAGGCCCCATCTCACTAGATTTTTCACTCCAAATTCTACAAAGCCCAGAAACTCATATATATTTCTAAATGGAGGATACAGGCTGCCTTTCAATTGGATTCTAGCAAGCAGGATCGCGCTGGCCCCATCCTAGTTAATTTAGAGGTCACTTAGGTTAAAAAAGAGAAAAATGCATATTAGTTCAGGGATATGGAATGCATGAGAAATATAAAGAAGTATTCCAAATATTGATGTCATATTAATAAAATTAATTGAACAGAACTAATTCATCTGCTTATAATTTGTTTTCAATTTCCCTTTTTCCTGAGTTAACTGGGTATAATTTAAAGTTCTTAGGTAAGATAATGTGTGGTCACTTTTCAGTTGACATTTGTGTAAGGAAAGAAACACACGATTGTTTTCTCATATATGATGGCTCCTAACTACTTGAATTCTAATGTGTCATAAGTAAGACTATGAAGTCCAAACATAAATAAAAAGTTAAGTCACATATGTAATCCTGCTACCCAACGTCAAGGTCCACTGTTTTTTGAAACAATTGAAATTCAAAACTTATTTGTAACCTCTCAATAAACAAGAGCAGAAACAGCAACTGTTGGAAAGGAATGGAGAAAAAGGGACCCTATGTAAGTGGTGGGAGTGTAGACTGGGCTAACCCCTATAGACTATGATATGGAGGTTTCTCAAAATATTAAAAATCTCTCTCTTAGGTGTCTACCCAAAGAATGAAAAAATACTAATTTGAAAGTATATGTGTACTCCTTATTGACTGCAGCATGATTTACAATATCCAAATTATGGAAACAACTCAAGTACCCAAGGACAGATGAGTGGATAAGAAGATGTGGTGTATGTACACAATAGAATACTACTCAGTTATTAAAAAAAAAAAAGATGAACTTTTTCCATGTGTGACCACATGAATGGAACTTGAGGGGATAATGCTAAATGAAATAAGTCAGAAGGAGAAAGACAAATACCAGATGGTTTCACTTATATGTGGAATATAGAGAAACCAAACAAAGGGTTAGACAAAACCAAACCAATAACAAGCTTTAGAAGTCTGACTGTAGAACTGAAGCTACCAGACGGGGAAGGAGATGGGCTGGCGGTGGAGGTGGGGAGCAGGGTGTGGAAGGGGCCCAATGGACCATGGCAGAGGACTGTGGGTGCCTTGGTAGTGGATGTGGCATGGAAACATAAATCTGAATGGGTGTGATCCTCTATGTCTGAATCATATACAGTGTCGTAAACCAATGTTGCCTCAATAATAAATAAATGCATAAAAAAGTAAAAAGAAAGACAAGATAACATCAAACATTGAAGCTAATCAATATTTATTTTTTTTTTTTTTTTTTTTTTTTTTTTATTCATTTTTTTTTTTTTTTAATCTTAAATTTTATTTTTATATTCCCCCATACAATTGCAAACGCCCCATTCTGACCCCAATCCTTCCCCTCCCGCCCCCCACCCCCCAAAAAGTGTCTCTGGTTCATAGTTTTTTGTTGATTTTGATTTTCACTTTCTTATATTCATTTTCCTGGTCCCTTATTTAAGTTTTCTAGATTCCTGCTATGAGTGAGACCATCCGGTATTTTTTTTTTCTTTTTGGCTTATTTCGCTGAGCATGATCCCTTCCAGCGCCATCCATGTTGCTGCAAATTGCATGTGTTTATCTTTTTTGAATGCTGAGTAATATTCCATGGTATATATGTACCACATCTTCTTGATCCAGTCATCTACTTTGGGCATTTGGGTTGTTTCCAAAGCTTAGCTATTGTAAACAGTGCTGCTATAAACATAGGGGTGCAGGTGCTCTTTGGAATTGATGTTTCTGTGTCCTTTGGGTAAATACCTAGGAGTGGAATTGCTGGATCGTATGGAAGCTCTATGTTTAGTAGGTCCAGAAATCTCCACACAGCTCTCCATAGTGGTTGGACCAGTTTGCACTCCCACCAACAGTGCAGGAGAGTTCCTTTTTCTCCACATCCTCGCCAACATTTGTTGTTGCTAGTTTTTTTAATATGTGCCATTCTCACTGGTGTG